TTGGACAGTTGCTGCGGACAGCACATGTGCTCTTCGGGACGCTTCGTCCAACGCGAACATCGACTTCAACGAGAGGTCGTCATCACAGTCGCCAACAACCAGAACCTGCGCACACGACGACAAGGAGTAGTACAACTTCAGTCACGAGAGACAAATGTTATACTGCATATGTCAAAGGTACTAATCGCGGGGGACTCGGCTACAACTTACTGAGCGTCAGCCAGTTGATGGCGAAAGGCATTCACTTGGAAGCCAACAGTACCACCCAGGAGTTCAAATTATACCACGGGAAAGGCGGCCTCTACATCGGGAAGGCGGTCTTGAAGAACAACGTCTTCGTCCTAGACTTCGTCCCAGACCTGGGCACTGCAGACAGCGACGCCATCGTGAACTTCGCCGACTGGACACATCCTCCGGATCTTGATCCGGACTTCAGTCCGGAAGGCTTCTGGTACTCGCACACCATCCCTGAAGCAGAAAGAACACGCGCGTTAGCAACAATTCAACATTCGGCAGCAGCAGAAACAACATCGGCAGCAGCAGAAACGTCATCGGCAGCAGCAGAAACAACATCGGCAGCAGCAGAAACGTCATCGGCAGCAGCAGAAACATCATCGGCAGCAGCAGAGACAACATCGGCAGCAGCAGCAGCAGGACCAACGACACCAGTCCTCGTCAACGAAACACCACCAACACCCGCACAGCAGTTGAAACCAACTCAACGAGAAGTCCACAGAAGCGCAAACTTCGTTGCCAGCTTTTACTCCAACTCAGACGCGTATCGACGCTCACTCGGACACCGCGCCTCCGAAGACATATGGCACGCACGAATGGGACATCCAAGCAACACAGTGTTAAATAACACGATAAGAGCAGGAGTCCTAGACAAGGACTCATTATTACTACCCGACGGCAGAGAACTCCAACGGGCACGAGGGACTTGTCTCACCTGCCCCGAAGCCGACTTACCACATCGACCGTTCACTCCTCATCACAACCCGAGCGCACCCGCGTACACACCACTCGAGAAGGTGTACAGCGATATTCTCTTCAATCGAGAACCAGGACAAGTTACCTACAACTACACGATTACCTTCATCGACGCCGCCACTCGATACGTCTGGCATCTAAATCTACCCAGCCGCGATATGGCACTCGCAGCGTTCGCCGCCTGGCTACCAGTAGCAGAAAGAGAGTCGGGAGCACAGCTGAAAAGCTTCCAGTCAGACGGAGGAGGAGAATACACCTCTCAGCGATTCAAGCAGTACCTGGCGGAAAGAGGAATCAAGCAACTCCTCTCCCTTCCCTACGCCCATCAGCAGCAAGGTGTCGCAGAACGAATGAACAGGACTCTGCAGAACAGCATGCGCAAACTGTTACGTGGCATGCGGCTACCCAACCACCAGTGGCCTGCAGCAATGGACCATGGTGTCATGCTGCACAACTTGATGTCGTCGTCCTCACTTCCGAACAACGCATCACCACATCTGCTGTGGACAGGGAAACAGGGCAGCACAAAAATGTTAAGAGTTTTCGGGTGCATGGTACAGTACCGACCCCCAGAGGCACGAGCGGGAAGATTTTCACAACGCGCACAGTGGGGACTACACCTCGGCATCGAAAAGAATTACAACGCGTGGAAAATCTTCGACGTTCACTCCAAGGAAACAGTAGCAGCACGTGATGTGATCTTCTACGAACGACTCACGCTTCAGACGTACCTCGCCAACTTGCACGAAAATCAGGACCCCACAGGTGGCTTTCGTGGTGACCGAGCCTTCGCCTCAGCCGCGGACGAAGCAGACTGGGACGAGCAGAACGTCGACAACGCATCAGAAGAAGCCGGACCTCTCCCGTTCTGCTCCGTCAACGTCCCCATGGACGAAGAAAATCCTCGCGAAAGCGCCAACGCCGAAGTCTTCTACCACTTCGCCGACAATGGTTACGTAACACCTGCGACAGTCAACACCAACGAAGCAGAAAGAATAGGACCGAATTTCATAACCGACCCAGAAACGGGAGATGAAGCAGCTTATCCCGAGGACACAACACTCCCCCGCTACTCACAGACTGGACTGCAGATTCTCGGCCTCGTCACCGCAGTCCACGGCCATCCTCTTCCTGAAGAGCCTGCGACGGTTCAGCAGGCTCTGGGGGGGGAACACATGGAGAAATGGCGTGAAGCCATGGATAGAGAATTAAAAGCCTTAGAGGAACGGAACAACTGGAAAGTCGTTCCAGTTAGCGTGGCAAGGAACAAGACCATCCTCACCGGGAAATGGGTCTTCCGCATCAAAACGAAGGCAGACGGCACAATCGAGAAGTTCAAAGCACGCTGGGTCGTGCGAGGATTCGATCAGGAACACGGACGGGACTTCACCGAGACATTCGCCCCGGTTAGCCGACACACCTCACTCCGAATTCTCCTCGCGATCGCCGCCATGAAGAAAAGGAAACTACGGCAAATCGACGTTGCTAACGCCTTCCTCTACGCACCCGTCGACGCCGAAATCTTTGTTGAGCTCCCACATGGTACCCACGGGGAACCTAATCAGGTTTGCCAGCTACTGAAATCGCTCTACGGAATCAAACAGGCCCCACGGCTGTGGCAACAGCACCTACACACCCGCCTCACCCGCATCGGATTCCGTCAACTGCCTCACGACCAAGGCATGTACCGACTCACCAAAGACGCCAACTACATTCTGCTTATCGTCTACGTCGACGATTTACTCTACATCGGTTCTACCGACGACATAACTACCTAGTTCGAAGGGGAGCTGAAGAGGGACCTCACACTCACGGTCTCCACTACCGTCACTCAGTATCTCGGACTCAACATCCGCGAAGAAGAAAACGCGATCCACCTCAGCGCCGAAAAGTATGCCGACACCATCGCCAAACGCTTCGCGCTCACACCCGCTACTATCTCCACGCCATACCGCTACACGGCAGAGAACGGCAAAGGAAGCTCCGCCTTACTCAAAACCGCCGGAATACGCGACTACCAGCGAAAACTGGGCTGCCTCCTCTTCGCAGCCGTCACCTGCCGGCCAGACCTGTCCTACTCCGCAAGTCAACTTGCTACCTTTCTCAAGAGGCCCGAAACAGAACACCTAGCGGAACTCGACCGCGCTCTTCACTATTTCGTGAGCACCGCAACGATCGGCCTGACGTACTACAAAAACACAACTACGCCGACGAAACTAATCGGCTACGTCGATGCCGATCACGCCGGCGACTCAGATAACAGGCGCTCCCGCACTGGCTACATCTACCGCCTCGAACCTATCGGACCTATCTCCTGGCAATCGAGCAAGCAGGAACTAATTGCTCTCTCTTCAGCTGAAGCAGAATATATCGCCCTCTGCTCAGCCACCAAGGAAGGACTCTACCTTCGCGAGCTGCTGGAAGAAGCGAAGTTAGCCGAGTTACCCAACTTCACTTTGTTCTGCGACAACCAATCTGCAATTCGCATCGCTAACAAGAGCGGATTCGCGAACAGAACGAAGCATATCGCCCTGCGATACTTCTTCGTGAAGGACGAGATCGAGAAAGGGAAACTTAAACTATCCTACTGTCCCACGTCCGAGATGGCAGCTGACTACTTGACCAAGAAGCTCGGAAAAAGAAGTTCGAGTACTGCATGCTGCTGACTGGACAAAGCCACGTCACCATCAGCGACACTCCAGAAGCGAAGGGGAGTGTTGGGAACAAATAGTTTAAGCGCTTCTGTCGTGTCAGAACTCAAGACACAAGCGAAGCAGCTCAAATCGAAGCATCGCGAGTCAACCCTCGGAAGTTAACGTAACCGCTGGAGGTTACGAGAAAGTCAAAGGTCAGCGACCTTTGACCTGACGCAGCGCGACAGCAAGGACACACAACTGACTCGACATTGAGCAGTTGCCCGAGTCGCACTATATCGAACCGCAACAGTAAAGTAGTGATAATGTCTCTTCATATTCTTTGTACTCATATATTTATTCCTGTATCTCTTTGCTTTAATCAACTTACTTTGCTCTCACATACTAGTGCAAGGTGGTTCAAGGACTTTATTCAACGCTTCCGCTATTACATCACTTACTCAGACTTTAACTCTACAAAGATCCTAGGGCTTTTCAGCCCAACAAACACATCGCACCAGTTTTCTGAAGGAACCTAATCGTTACACATACACCTCGCCCACACAATCAAATCGGAGTGGTATCATTGCTCTCTGCAACCGACTTCTCACGCCGCCATCCCAGAATCCTCCCTGCACTATCCTCCACTCCACACCTGCTCCCATCCGTACCCCACTCCACATCCCTATCATTACTACCATCAGTATCCTCCTCATCACATGCTCCTGGCGGCATGAATGCGAAACCCCCTCCCTCACACTCCAATTCTTGATCCTCCTGTTCTCCAGTACCGAAAATGGATGCTTGCTTCTCCACTTTCCCGCCATTCCCTTCAAATAATGCACCAGCACCAGCACCTGAATCAAAACCATTTGCCGAACTACCAGCCGAAGCAGCACCCGAATCAGCAGCCGAGCCAGCAGCCGGACGAGCAGCCGAGCCAGCAGCAGGAGCAGCAGCAGCAGCACCAGACACCACACTCGTAGAAAGGGAGATTTCAGTGGGAAGACTAGCGGGTACCGGTTGTGGGAGGCGGCTGGAACCATGTGAGATCTGAAAGGACTTTGCTGCTGATGCTTCTGCTGCTGCTGCTGTCCCAGCTCCTGCTGTTACTACACCTGGTGTTGCTGCTCTCCCTGCTGCTTCAGCCACCTCTGCTGCTGCTGCTGCTGCTCCAGCTGGTGTTACTGCTGCTGCCTCTGCTGCTGCCACTGCTCCTGCTGCACCAGTAGCAGGAGGAGTCTCCAGGTGGTCAAAGAATGAAAGCCACCCCGGCGACCCCGAGGTGCCGCGGCCCTTCCTGTCACCCACTGCCCTTGTCATGCGTGCATGCTGGTCTGCAGGAGGGGAACAGAAGGGAGGAAACCAGTCATTAAGTCATGCAGAGAAACAAACCGGTGCTGCTGCTCCTGCAGCAGCATGAGGGGTCGCTGCAGCAGGCACTGCAGCGGGCGTCATTGCTGCAGCAGCGGCGGAAGGGGGTGGTCCTGAAGAGGCCTCGAGATGGTCAAAGAGTGAGAGCCAGCCCGGAGACCCCGAGGAGACATTGTAGCGAGTTGATTTTTGAGTCGACTCAAAAAAGATGGTTTAGAACAGAGGGTTTAGAGTCGGGTCAGAACAGCAACACGCGACCCTTCCTGTCACCCACTGCCCTTGTCATGCGTGCATGCTGGTCTGCAGAGGTGGGGCGGGAAGAAGAGAAAACAGTGGCACAGAACAGAGGGTTTAGAGTCGGGTCAGAACAGCAACACGCGACCCTTCCTGTCACCCACTGCCCTTGTCATGCGTGCATGCTGGTCTGCAGAGGTGGGGCGGAAAGAAGAGAAAACAGTGGCACAGAACAGAGGGTTTAGAGTCGGGTCAGAACAGCAACACGCGACCCTTCCTGTCACCCACTGCCCTTGTCATGCGTGCATGCTGGTCTGCAGAGGTGGGGCGGAAAGAAGAGAAAACAGTGGCACAGAACAGAGGGTTTAGAGTCGGGTCAGAACAGCAACACGCGACCCTTCCTGTCACCCACTGCCCTTGTCATGCGTGCATGCTGGTCTGCAGAGGTGGGGCGGAAAGAAGAGAAAACAGTGGCACAGAACAGAGAGTTTAGAGTCGGGTCAGAACAGCAACACGCGACCCTTCCTGTCACCCACTGCCCTTGTCATGCGTGCATGCTGGTCTGAAAGCAGTGGCAAACGGGGAGAGGGACAAAAGAACAGTCACACAGACGGACAGCTGTGAGTCCCCGTGCAAGGAGGGAGAGGGGAGGAGGGAGGAGGGAAGAGAGGAGGAGGGAGGAGGGAAGAGAGGAGGAGGAAACTCAAGCACCTGCGATCATATCCGGTGTGAGGCCCCATGAAAACAGCTCGTATTCCGAATGCCGTACCGCCAGGCTGTACTTCCCGCCTTCTCCCATCTCCATGACCCGTAATTCACAATTCCCCGGGCTGAGCAGCCCCTCAAACTGTCTGACGGTCCAGCGGACCCAGCGCATGAGGAACACACGCGTGGTCAGCCCGTGCGTCACCATCACTATAAATCTCAACCCTTAACCTGGCTCACCTGCAATCATGTCTGGGGTGAGTCCCCACGAGAAGAGCTCGTATTCTGAATGCCGCACTGCCAGGCTGTATTTCCCCCCTTCTCCCATCTCCATCACCCGTATCTCGCAGTTGCCCGGATTCAGCAGCCCCTCAAACTGTCTGACGGTCCAGCGGACCCAGCGCATGAGGAGAGAGGAGGAGGAGGGGGGGGGGGATGGGCAAAGGGGGAAGGAGGAAGTAGGAAGAGAAGTCCGGCTCACCTGCGATCATATCTGGTGTGAGTCCCCACGAGAAGAGCTCGTATTCCGAGTGCCGCACTGCCAGGCTGTACTTCCCCCCCTCCCCCATCTCCATCACCCGGATCTCACATTTCCCCGGGTTCAACAGCCCCTCGAACTGCCTGGCGGTCCAGCAGAACCAGCGCATGAGGAGAAAGAGAGGGAGGGGGGGAGGGACAGGAAGAAGAGGAGCAATTGTGCTCACCTGCAATCATGTCTGGCGTGAGCCCCCACGAGAAGAGCTCATACTCCGAATGCCGTACCGCCAGGCTGTACTTCCCGCCTTCTCCCATCTCCATACTCATACTCCATGACCCGTATTTCACAGTTCCCCGGGTTCAACAACCCTTCGAACTGTCTGACGGTCCAGCAGACCCAGCGCATGAGGAACACACGCGTGGTCAGCCCGTGCATCGCCAACACTGTAATACTTGACCCGGAACCCGGCTCACCTGCAATCATGTCTGGCGTCAACCCCCACGAAAACAGCTCGTATTCTGAGTGCCGCACAGCCAGGCTGTATTTCCCCCCTTCTCCCATCTCCATGACTCTGATTTCACAGTTGCCCGGATTCAGCAGCCCCTCGAACTGCCTGACGGTCCAGCGGAACCAGCGCATGAGGAACACACGCGTGGTCAGCCCGTGCGTCACCATCACTATGTTGAGGGCCTTTCGCCGGGGGGGAGGGGTGGCGCCCGGAGGAGGAGTGGCGCCCGGAGGAGGGGTGGTGCCCGGAGGAGGAGCAGGAGGAGGAGGCGCAGCTGTGGCAGCAGCAGCAGCAGCAGCAGCATGTTTGTCTGCACGTGTTTGTGCTTCCGCGTGTGCATGTGCCGAATCTAACCGCCCAACTCCGCTCCTCTCCTCTTGCTCCTGCTCTCCTCCTCTCGCCCCGTCTCCCCTCCTTTCGTCTCTCTCCTCTTGACCGCCTCCCAACACAGCAGAACCAGCAACATCAGTGGTACCAGCGGCACTAGCGGCACCAGCAGCAGAACAATCAGCAGCAGCACCAGCGGCACTACAAGCAGCAGCAGCAGCCTGAGGGTGGTCTGACACCACGGGAGGAGCAGGCAGAGGAGGAGGGGGGTGCAATCGGCACCAGTCTATGTCCCGCCACAAGCTGTCAAGGAAACCTGGGAGAACGGGGGGGAAAGAAAGGAAAACAAGCAGATGACGGCCTGGCTTAAGAAACAGGGCATCCAACCAGGCTAGGGCCTAAGCACCCATATAAGATTTTTGAGAATTCTCAAAAACCGGCCTAGCTGAAGAAACAAGGCATCCAGCCAGGCCAGGGCCTAAGCACCCAGGCAAGAGCTGATGGCTTGTAGACCACGGCCCAACAGCGTAGCCAGACGGGCGAACCGCACAATTCTGGAGACAACTAGAGCATTGCTCATAAGATCGGGATTCCATGTGCCCCCATGTTGACCAATGCTACTGTCACTAAGACGGCAGCTTTGAAAGTCTGTGGAATTAGCATCGGTCTGGATATAATTTTGTATATACATATATATATGTATATGTATGAATGTATATATATGGAGATCTAAACACATGATTGTACAAGTTGGCTGAAGAAACTATTTGAGGGCATTGGCATTGAAAAAAAAAAACCTTGTGCCTCGACTAGAGTTAAATGATGGTGCGGTGTAGTGCGATGCGGAGTGATGCAGTGTGGTGCAACCTACCAGTCACGCGGTCGTACACGTCAGCGGACGACTCCCCCTCAGGGAACCGGTAGAAGAACCGTCCAAACCGCTGCCTCATGTCCTTAATCTGCCTCATGCGCTCCTGCACCTGGTGGTGGGGTGCAGTGCGGGGTGGTGACGAGTGGTGAAGAATGGTTTGCCACAGTGGGGTTAGGTGAGATGGTGAAGAGTGCAAGGGATGTCGCCTGGCATGCTCGAGCTGCCTCACATCCTTAATCTGCCGCATGCACGCTGGCACCTGGTGCGGTGCACTGCGGTGGGGTGGGTTAAGTGTGATGGGAAATGATAAGGAGTGGTGTGGAGTGGTGCAGTGGTCTACACGAAGCATGCCTGACTCATTCCACGGTCGTGTGAGCGTTGCTTCATACCCTTGATCTGCCACATGAGCTCTTGCACCGATGCTGTGGTGAGGTGTGCTGCGTTGTGCTCATGTGGTGTGGTGTGGGGTGGGGTTGGGTGGGGTGGGGTGTGGGGGGGCTGGGGTGGGTTGGGAAGAAGAGGGGCTGTGTGGTCATGGTGATTGGGAAGCTCCCCAGAACACTCTCTTACTGTACGTGGAAGCTTCTCAAAGCAAGCCCTTACCTGGAAGCTTCCCGAATCAAGACCTTTCCTACCTTGAAGCTTCCCAAACCCGCCATTTCTTTCCTCGAAATTTCCCAAAACCTTCAGCTCTTACCTGGAAGTTTCCAAAGTCTTGCTCCCTCAGCCGAGGCTCCTCCCTAACTCCCAAAATGTGCCGCCTGTCAAACGCACGCCCTATGCCCTGCAGGGTCTGCAGCCAGGAAGGAGGGAGGGAGGGAGGAAGGGAGGCGGGAGGGGGGTGGAGGGGGTGGGAGAGGAAGGGAGGCGGGAGGGGGGTGGAGGGGGTGGGAGAGGAAGGGAGGCGGGAGGGGGGTGGAGGGGGTGGGAGAGGAAGGGAGGCGGGAGGGGGGTGGAGGGGGTGGGAGAGGAAGGGAGGCGGGAGGGGGGTGGAGGGGGTGGGAGAGGAAGGGAGGCGGGAGGGGGGTGGAGGGGGTGGGAGAGGAAGGGAGGCGGGAGGCATGAAGGGCTGCAGCTCCCCTCTCACTCCCAAAATGTGCCGCCTGTCAAACGCACGCCCAATGCCCCGGAGGGTCTGCAGCCAGGGAATGGGGAATGGGGGGGTGGGGGATGGGGGAGGAGGGTTGGTGTTTTAGATAAACAGAGGGTTCAGGGTTTAAGAGGTTTATGCTTTGAATGGGGAGCAGAGGGGCAGTAGCAGTCGGGAAACAAACGTTTGTGCCCCGAGGGGCCTGCTGAGTAGAGGGTGGTTCAGGTGTTCAAGGTTCAGGGTTTCAGCATCCAGGGTTTAAGAATTTAGGTCTATGGATGAGGAGGAATGTGTTTTCTGAGAATTCTAAATACACATTCAGGGTTTAAGAATTCAGGTTTATGGATGAGGGGGGATTGGAGACGCAATAGCGGCCTTGGCTCTACTGTTCTCCTCACCGTCCAGAAAGCGCACTACTAGTTTCCCGTTCCTCACCACCAATTAATCACCTGAAGAGTTCGTGGGTAGGGCGCCACTTAGAAATAAACGTGATAGAGAATATGCTTTGAGACGTCCCAGGACTAATTACCTGAAGAGTTCGCAGGTACGGGGATACGTAGAAATACACCCCCCAGTCATCCTCCTCCTCGTCTCTGTTATAATCACCCTCGCCAGAGTCACCCCCTCCTGCGTTCCGCCTCCCCTCCTTCCCCCCTTCCCCACCTCTCCCCTGCTTCCCCCCTTTCTGCCGATCGAATTCGATTAATTTCCGAATCTGCTTGCCGCATTCCACGGCCTGCTCGAACCCTAGAGGCGTTAAAGACACGCGCGAGTCCGCGATTCGGGTGTAAATCCCCTCGTCCAAGTTCCCCTCGCTCTGCCCGTGTCGCACTAATATAATTCGCGTCGGGCGTCGCAGCAGCGACTCGCGGGAAAGCGGGTAAGAGGGGAGAGAGGACGAGGAGGAGGGGCGGGAAGGTGGGAGCGGAACAGCGGGGACATTAGCAGGGAAAGGCGGGAAGGCGGAGCGCGGGAGTTGGGGGAGTTGATCCGCGAAGGCTGCAGACGAGCTTTTGACGGCGGCGCCAGTGGCGGCGGCAAGCGCGGCGCTGAATGCGGAGACCTGCGCGCCGGGCGCGCTGCTTGGAGCCGCGCGCGCTGGGTCCAGCGGCGGGGAAACGGCGAGCGGAGGGGGGAAGGCGGGCGGGGGGGAAACGGAGCGGCTTTGCGGCGCAGACCGAAACAGACCGTCGGATTCGTCCTCAAGACCTAACCCTAAGCAGGAGAAATCGTCAAAGATTTTATTTTGCGCGGCTCGGTTGCTGCTCCGAGGCGCCTCGAGCGTGGCGTTTCGGGAGCCAATCAGATTCAGGCAGCAGAGGTCGTCGAGAGATTGCTTGAACGCGTGAGGCATGGAGCAATCGGCAGCCACGTCGTCGCGAGATTTCGTCTGCGTGAATCGCGGCGCGAGGCACGCGGGGAGAGGCGAGTCGCTCCGGCCGTAGGATAGGCTGGATCCAGCGGGGAACGCGGGCAGATCGGATGACGCGGGAAACGCGGCGGGCAGGTTGGGCGAAGCGGGGAAACCTGGAGCCAAAAGTGGGTGAGGAGAATGGGTGAGCGGAAAATTTTCATCGGCCATTGCGTCGAAAAAAGGCTGTTTGAATGGCGGCACGTCGTTAGAATGCGCCCCGGGCGGGCCGCGCGGAAAGTCCTGCTCTGCCACTCTGCGTGTCGCCGTGCGCAAGGTGATCAGCGTACCATAAGAGGAATTTAGGGTTTTCTGGAACTGGTAGTGAGAGCGTGGCACAGAAGTATTGTTTTGGGTAATACGCCAGTACAGCTCCTTCGTGTATTTTGGGAAATCTACGGCACAAACTAAACCCATGTGGGCGCCTTCATAGCGAGTATTCAGACACGATCTTCTGGAGGTTCGTTAACTATTGCGAACCGCAATGGAACGTTCTACATGCAGCTAATACCGAACAAATTGAGGAGCTCCGCGTGCTCCTCCCTACTTGCCCGTCGTGAGGTATGGCGCGTGACCCCCCCCTTCGGTTCGGTTCGGGGGCACCTAGTTGCCCACTACAGTTTTGTAGCTGGCGAAGCATGAACCTACCTGTCCTATTAGGGAGGAAACACCATCATCATCATCTCTTCACGTTCAAGCTGTTTGTCGTTTTGTCGGCCAGTGCTGCTTATCACGTGCCCCTTATCCCTGCCTACAGTATTTCTGTTTGCACTAGAGGATTTTGTGCGTCTTGTGATGATCACTCAAACAGTACCAATAGGTTCGGAAAACTAGAATTGCGTCGATCTGGTGGCCTACGCTTATCGTGACCAGACAGTTAGGCTCGGCAAGATATCTCGAAAATTCCACGTCAGCCTAGGAGGTTCTTCCGCAAAATCCTCTGATTCTTTCCAAGGGGGTTCTTCCATTCACACAAATCCCGTCTGGGTCCTTCGAGGACCGGACTGTATGTGTACGACACTGACCGATGTGAAATACCCCATCTGGGAAGGAAAACTGTCAAATCCTCATCACTGTCGAAATGGGCTCAAAGAGACAACTGGGGGAGAATAACTAAGTGTTTTTTGTGATGTATGACAGATCCCAATGGAATCCAAGCTCTTACGAAACTTGGACACGCCTGAGGTTCAATGGTACCCAACCCAAGCAGATGAACTCCCTCCTCCCCTTGCATCCATTTTATTCCACTCACCATCATCCATTGCACACGCGACTTGCGACGCGTGCCCCTTACAGTCTGCTCGTGGTATGGCGGCTCACCTCTCTGTCGCTTGCCCTTCCACATCGTTTCTCCTGTCACTTGTCCATGGAACTGCAAATCAGTCGCTTGTGCGGCTGCTAGAAAACTTCGGAGAGCATACCATGCACGCAGCACATACTGGAAGCGCGTTGTGCTTTGGCTGTAGGATTGTCTCGTCTCGTCGCTTCCTTTTCTATACTGCGCGATGGTGGCGAATCAGCCGTAAGTCAAGTGTCGCTTGTGCGGGGTTGGTGTTTGAAGCAACCATAGCATAGCACCGTAGAGTAGAACGCAAAAGACCAGAGCAGAACACGCAAACCCACCCAGACTGTGGCTGTAACAAACCACAAGCACCGGTCCTTATTTGGACCACACGCTTACCTCGTTCAATCCGATGCTTGCCGTGCATCAATCCGCCATCAACATCGCAATCCGATCAATTCGATATCTCTCTTGTTATCCCAGATCCCCAGTCAAGCTGTAACCCCTCTCGTTCCCCACGTGATAGTCCTGCACTTACGCGCGTCCCGCGCTTCGTGTTTCTCTGACGGCCTTGCTTTGTGGATAGGAGCGGTTGTATTGTGACGTAGCTTCTTTCTCACTCTCAGCCGTACGGAAAGTTTTCTTTGTCTTCCTCGTAAACGATTTCTGGTGATTAATCTCACAGGTCATCCTAACAGACTCGTCCAAACTGGAAAAGGGACGTAACGTAGCACTAAACGCCAACCGTTATTCTGGGTCTGAGCTCCTTTACAACCGCCTCCGCTCCTCGATTAGAAAGCAGCAACTCCAGATCCGCAAAGGCCTCATTTCCCGCTAGCAGTGCCCTTGAAAGACGCTCAATTTCCGAGGTTGCGCATGAAACTGTTGGACTTGGTAGCAGCGCCACGCGTGACAGACTCGGGGCACGAGCTACTAGCTGCGATTCGCGCTGTCGCTGGCTCAGCGGAACGCCACGGTAGTAATAGTACGAGATCTGTGAATAGCAAGTTGATTCCTGTGCCTGCAACGACAGTGGCTGCTACGATCGAGCTATCATCATGGCTCCACGAGCCGCGTCGTCTTTCCAGCAGCGGCAGAAGCTCTTTCACCGGGGCCGGGTCGAACCTTCCGTGACTCCCGCACAGCGCTTTGCGACGGCGCCGGCAGTACCTGTTCCGTCGAAATCGCCGCGGCTCGAGGAGATGGCGGTGGCTTGGGGTCGCGATCTCGATTGGAAGGTCGCGCCGCTCGTCCGGCGAGAAAAATCGAACGACGAATTGCCAGCAATGCTGACAACGACGGCAACTCTTCCGCTACAATCGCAAGCAGGACTTTCGCAGCTCTCCAACTCTGAAAACTTGGCGTCGCGCCGCCAGTGGTCCGCGGCAGCAGCGCTTGCGCCGGTGGCGGGAAACCTGGCGGCGCAGATCGCGGCGTGTCCAGCGCTTGCGCAGCCTCGGCGAGATTGCGGATCATCTCCATCGTCAGAGCGCGGCGCCGCGGTTTCGTCGTTGCGCACCACGCCAAGGGTTTTATTTGCAACTCCGCCAGCCTTGGCGGCTGCTGCTGCTGCGAATCCTGCTGCCGCTGCTTCGTCGCAGCCAATTTCTAGGGTTCCCGAGCTGACTGCTGCCAGTGGGCCTTTCGCAACGAGTCGCAGTTGCGGTCGCATGCCGCTGCTTCAGTCGCATCCAGCGTCTTCGCTCGATGGCTTCGCTAAACTTCGCAACGTAGATGGGACGTGCGGAGGCAGCGTGATGCTGCCGCGCGAGAGCTGCGGTGTTACGGCGACGGCGCAGCAGCAGTTTTCGCACGTGATTGGTCAGCAGCAGTTTTCGCAAGAATTCCCACGTGCTCGCGTCCAAGACGCCGCACCCCGCCTAGTAACGAACGGTCACGAGCGTGACTGTACCAAGGGCGACCTTTTGCGAAAGAGAACGTTCACGCGTTCAATAACTACAGGTACAGTAAACGCAAGTGTTTCTGCTATCCCCGAATTGGAAGACTATGGGTTCGAAAACGAGTGCCCTCCAAAATGGGCAAGGTCTACACCCACTGCACGTCGGTCTGTAGGTATGAACTTTCCGGCTCCATTTCCTGATGCTGACGTGGCAGAGGTGGCACCAGAAGATGAGGTGTCGCTACAAATGCAGCTGTATCTGCTGAGGCGGCGGCAGCGGCAGCAGCTGCGGCTGCTGATGGAGGCGCGTCAGGCGGAGCAGCAGCAAGTTCAGTTTTCTGCTGAGCTGGCAATGATGGAGAATGAGATGATGCTAACTCAGCAGTCTCAGCTACAACAGCAGTTGGAGCAGCAGCAGCAGGCTTTTCAGTACGCTCAGCAGCAGCCGTTGGGATGTGAGCAACAGCTGGGATGTCCGCAGTTGCTAAGGGGTGAGGAGCAGCTGAGAGGTCAGAAGCACCTGGTTTTGGAGGAAATGCAGCAACAACTGCTGAAGCAGCAACTACAGGAGCAGCAGCAACTGCGGAGGCGGCAGCAGCTGCAGGAGCAGCAGCAGCAGCAGCGACAACAGACACTAGAAGACGAGATCACGAGAATGTTCCTGCAACGGCAGCAACTGGCATACATCCAGCAGCTTACTTGCGAGGCTGCACAGCAGCAGCAGCAGCAGCAGCAGCAGCACGGCTACAAAGCAATCACCAGCGCAATCCCTGCACGCCCAATGAACAACGCCCAAGCTGCACTTGAAGCCGCGATGCTCCCCGTCTCAGCTTCGGGAGCTGGACCTGGCCCTCTGTCTTGGCCCGAGCCTGCACATCAAGCCGCCGCTGCACGATTTGTTCAAGCCCAGGTGCAGCGGACTGTCCTAGGTTCGGCCGCAGCAGGGGAGGCTGGGAAGAAGAGGATCGGAAAGCCCTCCGGAGGATTGGAAAAGGGTTGCAGTGCGAAAAAAACTTCCGACAATAATCCTGCTGCGATGCTCGAGGCTCTCTTTGAAAAATCGTTCAAGGAGAGAAGTGCAAGCAACATGACGGGGCAGGGCATGGCGAGCGGTGCAAGTTTCGAAAGTGATGCGCGCATGAATGCTGCCGCTCTGCCTGCCAACATGCTCGTTGCAGCGCAGGGGGGCGACCAGGCATGCACATTCAAGCTGGAGAATGAAGCTTGCAGTTTCAGTGACCCATTTTTGCTGCAAGTGGAGCCGGGCCCTGTGCAGAAATCCGACCTGCCATACGCACAGCTCACGCCAGCGGAAATCATCAACGGTGCACCTTTCTCTGGAGTTCCCAAGGGCGTGCCTTGTGCATCCGCTCAGCAGGAGACGTTCCGGTACCTGAGTGCGGCTCTCGGCGCGTGTGAGCCGTTGGATCCTGCTCTGTACACGTGTCAGAATCTGGATGATCCGAACCTGGACATGCCTCTGCAGGAGCTAGAGGCAGTGGAGAGCTTGCTTGGGGTGACTCCATACACTGCCAGTCAACCTGGTCAACCCGGTCAACCTGGTCAATCTTCTCAGGTCTTCTCTCCAATTGTCTCCGCCTTGGATTCTGCTGGCCGATCCGCATCTGCCAGTGCTTTCCTGGAGGCAGCAGGTGCTGCTGATGCTTTCCCTGCTACTTCTGCTGCTGCTGGTGCTGCTGCTGCAGTTTCAGCAGCTACCTCTGCTGCCTCTGGTGCCTCTGGTGCCTCTATGTCAGCTGG